AAAAAATCATTATTGTTTCTCAGAGTAGAGCCCTAAACCCAAAAGCTATCAATAATGAAAGCCCCATATCCTCCAGAACGCTCGTAATAACCCAACCCTGATAGACACCCTTAAGCCTTAAACCGTTGAAATCATTAGGGCCCCGTTGCACCACACTAACGTGAATTCTATTTTTGTCATCAAAGCAGCGAAACATAGACTCGAAAGCTGCGGTGCTGACGGGAATCGGCTTCTCTTGGTCCTCGCCGTGCTCGGCCACGGCTGCAGAGATGGCGTTTCGGCTCAAAAAGCGGTGCCTTGAATCGGGAGTTTCGAGTTCAGGGCTTCGGGTTCAGGGATAAGGCTTTTATAGGAGCTGGCGTTTTGGAGAGGGTGAAAATCGGCCGAAGTCTTTCAAGGGGGCTTCTTTGGAGTGCCTGGATCGTCTCTTAAGTCTAGCACGGGCTGCTCCGGTAACTTCTTATGCCAACAACTAATTTTCAATCCCGAATCCTTTTTTGCGCCCATGGTGCCGCTCCGCTGACTCTGAGGAAAGCGTCAGCAAGGAGTCGTCTTGAAGGCCTGATGCCAGTTTGGGGTATAGTAGAGTTGAGGTTTTGGTGTTCAGGGTTGGGGTAGTTAAATGTTGTGTGAGGTTTCGGGGTTCCTTGGAGGGCTATGTTGTTAACCCGTCGTTGCATGTAGGCAGCCGCAGGATTGACGAGAGTCTTTCACCTAAGCATATGCCCGGAGGGAATGTTTCCCTGAAAAGGTCCAGCCGCAGTGCGTAACTCTACTTACGCAAGGTGGATCCATCAAGGGAGGTTTCGGAATTTGTAGGCCTAGCATGCCACACGGTTCAGGATGTGTGCTGCAGCATTCACAGTTCACGGGATTTAATGCTGAGCCGTTGGCTTGGATAGGGCTCTTGCTCCACAGGAAAGATTCAACTAAAAGGTCACCCCTTCCAAACCGAGACAGGTCAAAGCTTCAAGCGCATCATCTTCGAACCTGAGTTCAGAGGGTCTCGCATTCAGACCGCTGCAGTTTAGCCTGCTTTTGAATCAACCCAGGCTAAAATGCTAAACGTGCTGAGCCTCGGAAGAGCTGCGAGCTCTGACATAGCATTGGCTCTCATCTTCTGTCTGAAAATGCTTAACAGCGAGAAAGAAGTGATTTAAGTACGTCGTGTCTAAGGTTGAAAGACAGGCCCATAATCGATAACTAGTAAGTGCTTTCCGAAAGCTATACTCGCAATCTGCCTCAAAAAATCCTCCAAAAAGGGCCAAGAGTTTAGGGATCGAGTAATCTACCCCAAGACCTTCCTCGCCGGACCCTGCTCGGCCTTCACCACCCCGAGATGGCAAAGCAGTGGACGTTGAATGCTCCCGCCGCCTGATTCTTACTTTTGGTTAGTAGGGAATGGAGGAATGGTAGTAATAGTAGTTATAGTTGTACCCCATTCCTCCATTCCGTACTAACCAAAGGTAAGTCTGATGCACCGCCGAGCTTCGGAAAAGAAGAAAGCCTACAAAGCAAATCACGGCTAAACACAAAGCATTCTTAAAAGCTTGGGGCAGCTGCTCTCTGGCTCCACGCAAGCTAAACCCTCAAACCCTCCAATGCCCTTCAGAACCCTTCGCACTTAATCTAAAGACACCCTGTTTTGCCAGGGTGCTTGGAAGGCTGCGTGGGCGCATAAGGCCTTGGCGTCATTCCCGGGCATCGTTCCAGGATTTCGGGGTTGCAGGTAATGATGTTCACCGTATACACGATGAAGCCCCAGCGAAATCTCCAGCGCTAGGGTGAGTGTTTAAGCCTGAGGTGCTAAGGTTTAGCCATGCGCCCTCAGATTGCACTTGCTGTGCCCTTCCCCGGGATTCGCACTCCGGGTGCTATGAAGGGACTGGCTTAGATTCTCAAGCATTCCCTTGAAATCCTCAGGCGCAGCGAGGCTCTTGAAAGCGCACCCCGTTCACCCCGCACCTTGAGCATCCCTGAAGCGCCCACGCACAACCGTTGGCCGCACACCGACACTTTCCAGTGCTATGCTTATCGCTGTTTACACTGGCAGCAGCTACGGTCGCAGTTTCGCCAACACCACCTTCAATTTTTCCCCTGCCGCCAGCACATCCACAATAATCTGCACGACTATTGTTCAGTCTTCACGAAGCCGAAACCTCGGGCCCAATATTTACTGTAGACCCTACATGCTAGACCCTCCAAGCCTGTACTAGAAAACCACAACGGAAATCTTAAGCGCGTGCCGCAACCCTAAACCCAGAAGGACCAGGGAACAAACCTTGAATCGGGCCATTATGGTGCCGTAGCAGTGTCGATTTCGAGCAATTCAATAGACACGGTATTTGGGGGTCTTCAATCGTCAAAGTAAGGTGTATATCCTAGTACAGTTCGATCAAGCAACCCCAAGAAATAGTGTCCGTGATTATTCGAGCTCCCACGTGAGCTTAACCAAAATCCCGAAATTGGCCGGGCAGTTCCAGTGCCGTCCAGCAGCTGCGTCCGCAGCCTGTGCTGGATGTGCACTGGCGACGGGCTTATGGGCTAAATGGGGTTAACTTCAAACGCTTCGGGTTTAGCGTCTCGCAAGGTTTCGCATGGCAAAGCTAGGTTCAAAACTCAGGGGGGGCTTCCGTCGCCCCGTGTTGCTTTCGGTGCACCTTGAAAACTTGGGCTTGTGGGTTTCTTCACTTTCAAAATAGCCATACACGGATTTTCGGGTTTGGGACTGAGGGTGCTGCGTAAGCTCTGATGGCTACTTATCGTGTGAGAGGCATTCGGATGCTGGGATAAGCTCCAAGTTGGCATTCTGATCAGGTTAGGGGCTAGCGTGGCTAGGGTTTGGGGGGCCTCTTTACTATCACATTGACAATATGCTTAAGCAACCCATGGAATAGCTTTGTGATGCTTTTACGAACACTTCACTTTCTTCTGCATGGTCCTCACATAGCTAAGGAAGAATAACTTGCCAGGATTCCTGTTAGGTTACCACCGGAGATCGGTCCAGGCAAAATTGAGTCCTCGTGTTTCCTTTGTTTCGAAATTTTCACTCTAAGGAGAGTTGCTGTAAGATTGCTGGCTTTGTTTTGCTTCCTGCTGTCGTGAACATCCACTGGAGAAGCCGAAAGCATTGAACACGACCAGTCTCCTTCGATTCGGGAGCCCTCAGGAACTGTAGCACTAATCGATTCTTCACGTCATTAGCATCTGACTTGCGCCCTGAACACCAAGCCGATACCAAGCCGTAAAGCCTGGGGTCCTCCGTCCTAAACTTTCATACAGCCGATAATTTGCTGCCGGGTTGCTTGCTCACAGCAGGATCCGCCAAAAAACCGCTTTTGACCCGGTAGGCCTTGCAATGCTCCAAGCAAGTTCCCAGGCCCAGGTTGCTTTGGGGGGTTCCTCTCCTACAAGCCTTCCTATGACGGTTCCTACTCCAGTTTCCTGCTTGCGTGCATTGGGTCTAGGCTCCTCCCCATACCACAGCGACTCACCAAAACAACCGGAGCTGAAAGCTCGGCGGCCAAAGCACATGAAGCTTAGGGCTTCTGCGCATCAGAGGTTTTATTGGCTTTCCGATGCTCGTGGAGGCTACGCGCATCTTGAAATCCCTCTCCCAAGCCAGGCCTCTTGCTCGGTGTCCTTAGCACAGCCAGAAGCTTTGGGATGATTGCAGGATTCAGGAGGGCTTGCCCTGCAGGCTTGAGGACCGAACAAGTGGCAATGGTCTCCCCTTTAGTCGCTGCTGACTTTTACTCAAATCTTATCTTCCCCCTATAGTCTATGCATACATATACCTCTCAACACGCAGTTGCAACCAGCAATGGATATCTGTCACCGATTGGGAAAAACCGCTGTTGAGGAACTTAGTTTCTCAGAATACTGTAGAACAGAATCTTCCTCGACAGGCAGCTCTGAAACCTAGGACCTAGAAGACATAGTTCTGTTCAGAACAGGGTATAGGTGCAACGCTAAAGCTGTGAAACCCCGCAGCAAGCTGGCAACAGCCACCTCCTTCTTCCGGATACTGCTGGTTTTAACGGAGGCCCTGTCTAGAACCCAACAGCGGACGGTCTAACAGGATGCTTTGCTAAGATTGGCATGACTGAAGCTACTAGTACTCACGCCCCTGAGCGGTAAGTCGCGCAATCGTTGGGTGTAGACTCCACTGCCAGATCAGATCTGCGAATGTCTCCGCTGCCTTTTGATCATGGCGATTTGACTTAGGTACTCGAAAACAATGAAATTCGGCACTCGCGTCCTGGAACCTTCAAACATCTACCTGCAAGGCTTCCCTTCTAATCGTTATACGGCAGGGTCAAACCCTTCAACTGCACTTTTTTGACAGCTGTACGCTGTACACACGCATCTGTCGGCATCCGGCAGAAGCGAAAGGTGAGCAGCCCGAGGCTATCTCGACTTGAGGAGCACCACTATCATAGCAGCAGAAGAGCAGGCTACTCGCCAGAGTCGAATTGAAACTGCCATGAGTAAGCATGCTAAAGCTAACTTTTGGAGCTCGTGTGCGCAAAGAGGCACGAGTCGCTCTCCGTATTTGGTGGCTCGCAGCCACAGAAAGCACGCAGTCACTCCGTTCCTGAGTGGTGCGGACTCTCGAGAATCCGTTTGGGGATCTTGCTCTGGAGTAAGAGAGGAGCGGCTTTAAAGCAGATTGCTTTGCTTATATAAGAGGCGCCCAGGAGCCTTCTAAACTTCTCTTAAAAAAAGGGAGTGTGTTGAGAAAAACGTGGGCTGCCAAGGATCAGCGAGATCATATTATGGCCCGGTACCGCTACGTTGAACAAGGGATGCAAGCTTCCTGCCCGAAGTTGGGGATATTCAAGATGTCCCAAACTACAGCGTGCCGCAATGAGAGCAAATGTGAAAGGGTTCCCTAAAAGGACCATTGTTTGGACAACCACCCTTTGAGAGGTGAGCAGCCAAAGGAAACCCGCTTAGGTGCCAAAAGGTATGAATGACGTCTCAGGATGGCAACCTACCTAAACCCGACACTTCATACCCAAAATAACCAAGCCGCATGATGAAGTTCTTTGGCTAGCGGTCTCTGGATCGCCGGAGCCGATGACGTGGATTTCCTGTGGATTGCACACCTTTTCCTGAGCTGACAGTTTGGGGGTCTAGGGTAATGTGGCCTATATCTACATTGTATAGGGGCCCAAACAATCAGAAATAGGGTTTCTCGGAATATTATAGTATATTGCTCGCAAGGCATTGGCGGAGGGGTCATGGGCTCCCAAATTCCGTCCAACTTGTGGCTCCACGGTGAATGCTGGATGCAGAACACCCTCGTCTGTAGCGGGAAATCTAGACCATCAACAAAAGCAGGGAAAGAAAGGGTTGGACTTACTGGTGGCCGATCCCAGCGGCCAGGATGGGAACGGCGGAGCTTATGCCGACGTCCGCGGCAGTAGCTTGCACCAAGACATAGCTCTCGTCGGATATTCCAGCCATGGCCTGAGGTTTTGGTACATTGAGGGCTCCAATGGGGAACGGGGCTTGGAGGGTTGCTTCAGATCAATTGTCATTACATTTTCCTATGCCGGCAATGAAGGAACGATGAATGGGCAGGGGTGTGCAATGATCTGCAAAAGTAACTCATCGCTAGTGAACCGTTATGGGATCTTCTGTTGTTCAGGTTGTGAAGAAGTCAGAAATGATGAGAACTGCAGGCGAGCTTCTATGGATTGGAGGATGGCAAACAGGCTGCCCTTCTCGACGTTTCCAATAGAGCTTTGCCATTTTGCCGCGAGGGACTCAGCTGTGACTCCTTCAGCTGCAAATCCCAAGATCCCGAAAAAAGCGGGAACAAGCTCGAATACTCTGACCTGCGTCGCCCCGGCTATCAGTCCGGCGCCAACCAAGACCTTGTCGGCACAGCTCCAATCAACTTGGATATCCCCGTCTTGCGGATGTTGTACCCGGGCTTTGTAAGTGCTGATGTCATCGCGCAAGCGTTCCGTCTGAGCTACTGTCAGCCCTTCCACATGGTGCCAGAGGCGTTCCGGATGCTTGCGAGCCTCCTCGGAATTCTGCAGAAAGCGGTGCGTGTCATTGGACATGGCGCCTTGAACATGGGTCCAATTCGTCTTCTGAACCTGCTCTGCTGTCTTGTGAAGCCCGCCCTCAGCCATCTTTGCGTTCTGCGACACATTCTTAGAAACCTGGCTCCAATTCGTCTTCTCAACCTGCTCTGTTTGCTTGTCAAGCCAGTCCTCAGCCATCTTTGCTTTTCGTGACGCATTCGTAGAAACCTGAGTCCAATTCGTCCTCTCAACCTGCTCTGCTTTCTTGTGAAGCCAGTCCTCAGCAATCTTTGCTTTTTGCGACACATTCTGAGAAACCTGGCTCCAATTCGTCTTCTCAACCTGCTCTGCTTTCTTGTGAAGCCAGTCCTCTGCAATCTTCGCTTTTTGTGAAACATTCTTAGAAACCTGGGTCCAATTCGTCTTCTCAACCTGCGCTGCCTTCTTGTCGAGCCAGTCCTCAGCCATCTTTGCTTCTGGCGACGCAGTCTGAGCAACGCGCTCCCTCACTTGTTCGGCTTCATCAAGCTTGTCAGAGGCGACCTCCTTCACTGAATTCCACCAATCTGCCCAGGAGCCTGGCCCTGAGCTTTGGTCATGTTGGGCAGCAAGCATTGTAGCCTCTGTTGCCTGCGATTCCCTTGGGGCGCTGACTCGACGTGGTTCGCTAAGAATCGCGATGCCGCACATCAGAAGCAGACCCACTGCCACTGTCCTGCAGCCGGCTGTTCTGCCTCCTTGGATGTTCAAACAATCTATTCCTACTCATGCATGCATGAAGTGGTGAGCTCCAGAGCAAAAGGGGCCCAAAACCACAATAATTCAACATTTTCTGCGTTCCTGTTCGGTGTTGTCACAACCCCAAGCAATGACAAAGAAGCCAACTGCAGGCATGATTCTGGAGGAAGTTGGCACGTCAAGAAGAGGTCGAGAGTCGGCCACCATTTTAAAAATCTTCCCGATTGGAAGTCTGGAGAGTCTTGAGCAGATGGCAAAACTGTAGAAGAAACTGGTTGGTCGTGAAGTGCTTTGGCTTGTGGTGTACAGTGATCATCTCACGTTTGTGAGTCGTGAAACTGGGTGGGACCCTTTCAAACACAGAGCTTCGCTGGGTCCTAACCAGGGAAGGTCTTCCAAGTAGAGCCTTTCTGGTGACATAAACGTAGCAGACCTTGTTTAAGTATCGATGGACCTGCAGGCAAACTTGCCTGGATCATGGTTGCAGGCAGGTTTGGCAAACAAGCCTGCCTTCTGAATCGAAACCCTGTCCCAAAACCCCAATGCCCCGTCGGCCCAAACCCCGACCCTCAAGAGTACCACTGAGACGGACTTGCATCCCGGCAGCATTGCAGCTTCCGGATAAGCATGGTGCACCGGTGACTCAGGCTCTTGTTCCTACCGCCCAGCAACGAAAATGTGCTCAGACCCAAACGATTTCAAGTCACACGCGAAAGAGACCCCAAAACAAAGCGCACCCGGAATCCTATTTCCTTGATGGCGAGAGCCTGCAGCTTCAACAGTCTCGCATTTTCACCTGCTTTCTTGTGCGTCGTGGAACTTTGTGCCAGTCTGCATGATCTCGCAGTTTCGTATCGCTTCGCCAGAGGTTTGATGTCATGTGAAGCCTTTGCACCTCGGGACTTAACTCTCAAAGCCGGTGACCCTAAATATCAACCCCGAGATCCTCAACCATACGACCCGAAACCCTCAGCTCAGGCCTGAGCCCGAGTTCCTTGGCTCCCAAGCTTCGCAATATCAAGCCTTCCTGGGCTGACATCAAACCTCGTCAGCCAAGAACTTCTCGTCAAAGCGAATTCAAGTCGGACATTGCCGAAGTACAGCCATGAGAGGCCGTGAATCTGGTCGGCTGGCTGTTGCTTGACGCTAGACCACGACTATAGGGAGGGCCTGAACAATGCGTTACAATCTCCCCTTCGCAATTATGCAGTAATACTCCCCCAAAAAGCCCTGTTCTACTATCAGGCTCTGTATCTCAACTTGTCATCTGCTGCCATGACCACGAGCTTACCTCTTTGACCCATGCCGCCCTTGCAGAAGGCATGATATTGGTGACACCCACAAGTACGTATCACAACTATACTGTATATACCCCGAAGCCCTCGTCACTACTCTAGCTGTTAAGCTCTTGTCGGCTTAATTCATGTTCGACGCGGCATAGCGGCGCTCAGAGATCTGGGGGGCGGAAGCGGGGGTGCCAACATCTTGGCTTGGCTTGGAGGATTTGGCTTCCGCTTGATGTAGCGAGCAGTTGAAGCCCGTACAGGAAAATGGACAAGCGCCTTAAACCTTCAACCCGAAAATCTGACTTTCAGAATTGCCAGCTCCCTGTCGTCTGTCACACTGGAATTGGTAGGGCAAATTAGTGACTGGCGATCCTCCCCACCTTACCAGGGCGACCCATACCCGTGAAACACGCGATCTCCCTTGAAGTACGAAGAGATCCTTAACAATATGACCTGAGGGATATTGCTTAAGTAAAGCGTGTTGGGTTCAAACACCCTTCAATCCAGCCTGCTGTGTCGAACAGGTGTATTTCTAGTACACGGCCCTTTTTTCACTGCGGTCTGACTGGCCGCTTCACGGGTGCAGCTATATCGCCATATCTAAACGCCTGGAGCATGAGAATAAGTAAAGATAGCGGCATGACGGGCTGTAGGTTGCGAGAGCTTCCTTACAAGTATGCGCTTGAGGATTTAGGGCTGCAATACTGCAACCTGACCCACCATGTCCACCCACTTCCACCCACTGCAGACTCAGACAAGCAGATGACAGGGAAAGTGGGTGCAGTCGCATCTCGTCGCCGAAGCGATGTAGTTAGGAGCGAAATTCGTTCTCCAAGCTGCTACGTTCTCTCTCCTGCAGTCGGCCTTTAGACTTCATCTAACCCAATGTCCTGAACACTGTAGAGCTCTAGCTCTATGTCTGGATCCTTTATTCAACCCCGAAACCCAACTTTGGAAGCACCCCGGCAGCAAACACTCTACACCCTAACCCCGAGCTAGCCAACCAGCTGCCACAATGCCAGGCTCTCAGCATGACTTCCTGTCGATTTTTTGCGATTTTAAGGGTCGAAGCTTTGAGGGCTTTGGGTTTCGCTCAACATTGGGGCATGAGGGCAGGTGGCGCAGTCTGCAGGGCTTCGGAATCAGCGGCCACAGCGATGATTGAGAGTAGAGTGGTTGCCATACCAATCTAGAAGAATAGCACAAACACTGGACACTGACAAGGCACAGGAACTTCTGCAAGACTCTGTGCCGATGCAACATGCCCAGGGGGCTTCTAGAGCTCTTTTCATTCGATCAGAAGTCTCTTATGATGATGGTCAGCATGGTCATGGTGGTCATGGGTCTTCTGAACTCTGCAGCATATACTGCACATATGAAGAGCGTAGACCCTGATGCCAGCTCCGAATTCACAGAAGGGCTCCTCATGGTACAATGGCCGGCGGGGTCAAGAACCTCACAAGGCAGTCACGTTCCGCCGAGATTTCCGTGAGCTGTATCAGGTAAGTCTTGAATGGGTTCCGGGATGGGGTTCGGGGATCTGAACTCGAATCAGGGGCTGCAGGAAACTCTGCCGGACAATCTCTCATCGACGCACGGCTAGCAGGAGCACATCCTTTCCGTCTTTGGAGTGAAGTTAGGGCTCAGGGCTGTCGATTTAATGGCTTCTGCAGCCGGAACATGGCTCCCGTCACAAGATACGCAACTCTCCTTCCACGAACCTTCCCTCGCAACCTCTTGCCTTTGTAGGGTTTCGTACGGCCGGTACCACGGTATGTACTGGGGCATCAGGAAGTTATTCGGCGACGGCAGCCCACAATACATCCTGTATGACAAGCTCTTTTCGGGTAACTGTCAAGTTTTCCTTGTCTACTCCAGCCATGGCTTGAGTTCCTCCGACTTGACGACCGATCTGCTGAAAGCAGCCAGAAATGTGAAGGTCGACAACAGATAATGCCAAACGGACCCAGGTCCCCCCTAATTCTCAAGCTGTTACGCTACGTGTTGACTTTGGAAAGTAAGGGGCCCTATTGCAGAACCCTACCTGCGTGGCATGGTGGAACTGTATCTTTAACAAAGGACTCGGTGAACTCCTGCTGGCTAGGAGCTTACCAGCCCATCCACCCGATGGAAATGCAAGACCCAAGAAAGAAAAGGACGAAACAGGCAGGCTTGAAACTGGTTGCACTGAGAGTTCTATTGACAATGCAGGGTTCGGCGGTTGGGCGTCGAGTTTGGAAGCCAGTGGCCTGGAGGCATGCCCCGTGATCCAATCGCCGATGTCCTGATGCGATGCTCTGAATTGCAGAGCACATGCACGCAAACCTGAAACCTGACCGTAAAGTGTTGAGCAAGGGGCCCAACTCAGGCATTTAATTTAGTAACAGCTCGCTGCATTCATACCCGCCGTAGGCACATGAGACCTCTGACACAACAACCATCATACCATGCAACCCTGAGCCCTTACCCCTAACACGACCCAGGTGGGGGGGGGAGAGGGGTCCTGATTGATGCCGCCGTTAGGAGCCTTCAGGTCGCAGCGTTTCACCATGAACCTCAGCTACGAAGGCTGCTGAGGGCTGTGGGTTCCCAGGCTTTAGGGCCCTTGACGCTCTCGCAACTCGGACAAGCCAGACGAGGTTCTTGGTGAGGGTTTAGGAATTCAGGGTCTGGTTAAGGGTTTACGGGCTTAGGGGGGGGTTTACAGTAAGGGTTAAGGCTTGATCCCGCTATTTGGAGTACATGGCCATGGGGTTCAGGCCGCAACGGGATGTCGGAATCAGTTCGGGCTTGGGGGTTCAGGTGCCAGGGGTTCTGAATCCAAGACCGGAAAGACCACTGTTTTCAGGATCTTCTATGGCTTCAGGGCTTATGAAGTCTCGGGTTTGCGGCTTCAGGTTTGGGGTTGTAGGGCTTTTGGGGTTCAGGGTTGCAGGCTTGTTGAGGATACGTCCCATCGTAGCATTTGCATGCGTGGCCTGGTGTCCCGAACATCTTCTGTTCCTGGACGCCGAAACGACAAACCACAACTCCTGAACCGCTTTGCGAGAAGACCAGCGACTTGAAGTTCCAGTGGTAGCAGTTCTCGTCCAAGTTGCAAGCCTTCCCGGGCGCGGAGCTCTCTGAGATTCCGTGGCTCGGAGGTTAGGGATTTGCTTCGAGAGGACGGAGAAGGGGCCGAGCTTTCAGATTCCTCGAGTCCCAGAGCCCAAGCCCTCCCTCTGGCGGCTGGAAATATCGGAACCCCAACAAGCTACGGGTTGGTGCACCCTAAAGAAGGTCAAAACTCGAAACAGCAAGCAGGGGCGATGCCAGCCCTCTAGGATCAATATCTTCAGGGTTCAGAGTTTTGGGTTCAGGGTTGCAGCTGCGGGTTAGGGCCGTTAGGGTTTAGGGTTGACCGTGCAGACAAAGAAGCAAGCTTGAGAGCTCGCAGGATTGGATAGTCTAGCACAGAATAGAGGCAACTACAATCGCGCCCTTCGTCGAACCAGTGATCGTACCACTAGTGCTTGAAAGCTACTCAAGCTCGGGCTACAAGGCATCCTTAACCAAGGCAGGCGGTGCGTGTACGTGACATGGAAGGGTGTTGCTTGCACATGGTGCGAGGTTTCGTCACGTACTTTTCGGGTTGAAAGATCTGTGTTTGAAGCCTTCCGGCTTCGGTCTAACACGAAAGCTTGAATAGCTGGACTAAGATCTTGGGGTCCATAAAATGAGAAAGTCAAGGGAACCGAGGCAGTCAGGACTATGGTCATAAAGTGGAATTCAGGTAGATGGAGCGCCTGAGCGCAGTTGACAGGATCGTTGACGTTTGGGATGTCGTTCCTGCGGCGCAAACTCGAGAACTTCGAATTCCTCTCGTGTCGGTGTAATACCGAGGCACCCGGTTACCCTCGATAAGCGCCCAGATAGGGCTCTAGTATTGGATACCTCCTCATAACTGAACAACTGATGCGATTCTCATGGCCGTAGAATTTCCTTCTTCAGTTGAGTTTGAGGCATCCGCATTTCAGAAGAAACCTTTGCAGAACCCGGATGCCGCCCCACCTACAAGTAATATAGGGGATTGTTTATACCTATACTATCCTTAAGGTTTCTGATTAGAGGTGCACTTATAATACACACCGAAACCCTAGTCTTATTATCCAGGCCCGAAAAATTTACCAGATGTCAAGAGGAAGGCCCTCCGAGGCCTCTGGGCGATGATCTATTGGACTCCTCTTCAGTTCCTTTGGTTTGAGTCTGCCTGAGTCTCTCCTTCCAAGATGGAAACATACTGAAACCCACATGACTTCCCAACTTCAACCCAGACGCAAAGGCCTGCAGCCTCCACTGAACCAGGCAACTCAAACACATGAAGGTGGATAGACAAGTATGTGGATGGATAGATAGATGCATAGACAGACAGAGAGGCAGTCATACAGATCGACAAACAGATAAACATCTAGACACATAGAGAGATAGACAGACAGAGAGATAGATGGATAGGTAGGCACAAGGGAACAATGAGTAGCAAAGATTTCCAGGCGCCCTACAACACCTTGCCAACCCTAAACTTAGCGTACTGCGGGATGCCTGTAGTCACCGTAGAGCCAGCATCCACGGGTGGCCTGGATGCCCTGCGCGAAGACAATGGGTCTTGGGAGTGTCGGGCTTCTACTAGTAGGGTTGCTGGGGCTTCTAGGATTTACGGGTTTTTAAGGCTTACGGCGTTTGGGCTGCAGGGCTCAGGGCTGACTTAGACAAGGCTTAGGGTCAGGGCTTTCTAGAATCAGAAGTTACTTGCTTGCGACGGAAGGGTCTAACTGTACATTGTTTAGTTCAAGGTCTGATGCACCAAAACCGGAGTTGCATACCATGGGCTCCTGCACCTAAACCTGGTGGCAGTGTACGCCCTCCCGGGTAGTAGGGATCCACGGTGCCAGAGGTCGCATCATGCACGGATTTTCGTTTCTGATGTAGACTTGAATTCTGCTTGAGGCGGTTTGGATGGTAGGGGTCTTGGTGGAATAAGGGGTTGAAAATGTCGGAATCGGCGTGCCCGTGGCTGCGTTTTGGGTTTTGCCCCAAGCCCTACTAAGAAATCAGGCCGATGGCTGGAACTTAGACAGATGCAGGCTTCGAGGCATCTACCCAGTAAGTGAAAAGTCTCGCAGTCTTTCAGTGAAAGTTACAACCGAGTGATGACCAACAGGGTTTTGTAGCGGCTAGGATTGCTCCCAGATTCGTTCGAGAAGTTCTCCGCATGCGCGCCTCCTTTGCCAAAGCTTCCAGGTATTCATTGCGTGTAAACCTGGCCAAGTTCGGGGTATTGAGTGCAAGGGCACAGAGCTTTCGGTAGCCTTTTCTTCAGAGCCTAGGGTTATTTAACCTGATTCGAAGGGTGAAGGGTGAGAACTCTTCACTCCAGAGCCAGGCACCAAGAGAACTGTCGGTCATAAGCCAACAGCTTACGGTTTTGCATGGTGACCACATCACAGAGTTGGAGAAATCTTTTCACCGGTGGGAGCTTCAGAAAGTCACCACCTTCTATATCAATGGCTCTCAGTACAGGCTTTCATATGGAGACAGCACCAGCTGTTGTCCTGCAGCTGCATGCCACAAACCCTCGAATAGGGAAGCCCATCTCAGCTCCGGCAGCAACCATGGCGGAGACGCTCCACCAGGGCATCTCCAGTCAACTCCTGGACCAGAAATCTGAGTTCATGGAGTCCCAAGCCTCAACTCCTAGCCTTAAGCCCTACTTTGTTTCAGACCTAAAGACGCATTCGGATAAACCAGGCCAGCGACAATGGAATCCAGAAATTGGGACCCTTAAAGTTCGCTGCTTGTGGGATAACTGCCCCAAGCCCTAAACCGAGTAAGCCACGTAGCTTGACTTGAGGGTTTTCTGTGCGAGGGTTCAGGATTTACGCGGGCTGTCGCTACTAAGCCTAAACTAAACCTAGAAACGATCCCACACCCGAGTACAGCAGTGTGTGATTGCTTGGGTTGAAGCACGCATTCTGTGTGGCTTCATCCAAAGCCCATCCGATGCTTCAAGTGGCGTGTAACAGTCCGCATCGAAAGTGCTGCGTGGAGGGATGTTAGTGAGTGCACCTGCTTGAATACGTGAGCCTTTCGCGGAGAACCCCTCAAAGCCTCTGATAGTCCCCTGAGGAGTTGCTAGCCCTCGGTTTCTCTCTGCGGCTTCAGGTTGACGGATAAGGAAAACGACAGGCCCCTGGGCAAGTATTTCAATTCGTGATCTCCCAAACCTCGGGCGCCTGAATCCCAAACCCTGAATGCGAAGGCCCGAGAGCACGTTGCAACCGCACTCCAGCAGACAGGACGTGAGCATCACCGACCGTGACCCTAGCCTAAACATGCAAGAGCCCCAAACCCTAAATGCTCTGACCTAGATGCAGTAATAATATTTTCTCTCTCTCTCTCTCTCTCTCTCTCTCTCTGCCGTTGCATCCAGAGTAATAATATTCTACAACTATAAATTACACCTATAATCCTATCTCCAACATAATCACAGTTCCTGCATATTTTTTACAAGGTTTCTTCGGAAGACCCCAGCCCCAAGTCCTCCGGTGGCTCCCGGATTGGGGAAACGGGCGCTGCTGGGCTCTCCTCCAGAAGGGAGGCTAGAATACACACTTGGCTAAGGGTAGCTTTGGGCATCTGTTGAGGGCAGTATAGGGGTGTTGAATGGCTGAAACGCACAACATTCACGGATTTGCGTTGCAGTAAGGGCCGCGAAAATTGCCTATGTGGTGTTGGTGCACAATTGAGGCGGTTGCTAATGATTGGGTTCCACTCTCTTCATGCAGAGTTGACGGCCTTATTCCGCCTTGGAACGAAGCTGGATTAGCAGGTAGCACGCGCGGCATCTCATGGTCGAAGTCTTCATGTGATCATAAAGCGAGAAAGTCCACTTCCAGCTAGACTGACAGAATTGTCGACGCGTGTCCTCTGCCCGGGGCGGGCACCATCTCACCATCTCTCTCAGTGAAAGGATGCTTCATTATCTTCTGGCAAGTGACCCATGGAACAACTACAGCCTCAAGCATCGTGCACTACCGACAGCACACGGAGCCGCGTTTCAGCTGCAGGAATCATACCGCCTCTGCACCCTACTACATGAATAAGGAATCTGCACCTGAAATGAGGAGTTGTGGAGTCCGTGCTTCAGCCTTCATCCAACTCACCTTGAAGTGCTTCGATCACCTTTCAGTAACCCTTCTGGCAACCCCTATACCAACCTTTATAGCAATCAGTGGTAACCCTCCTGGGCCAATGCAGCGGTGAAGGCCAGCATGACGAAGATGATTCGAGCCATGGTTGCCGAGTGCAGCGAGGGCCAAAGGAGGGTTTGAGGCTCGAAACAAGCTGCAGGACGACAGGTCACAAGGACCTAGTGGCGTGTGAAGCGCACTCGAGGCTCAGTAAGCTCGAACATGTGCCACCCCTACTCGAGCCCAGCAATCGAACCGAGCCCTTATCCCGTTTGGTCGTTTTGAGATACCTGCTTGCATGTAAACGGTGAAGCCCTTCTTCAACCCAGAACTGGTTTGTTTTATCTGCCAATTCAGCAAGTTGCCGGGGAAAGCCTCAGCCTGAAAACGAAAGCCCAAAACCTACGCCGGAAAGCCTGTCCGAATCCTAACCCCCTAAGCTTCTGCTATCTTTCCTGATCTGGCTCCGGGGGGAGCTGCGGCCAAGCTGCTGTTCCGTCCGACGAAGACATCTGACCCTGCCTGCTCTTGATTCCTGTGCCGCGGGTTGAGGGTTTGAGGTTCAAGGTGTAAGGGCTTTGCATTCAAGGCGTAACAGGGTTGTAGGAGTTTTAAGATTCGGTTTGGCGTAGCTACGGGCAGTTGGCGGACTGTTTCAGGATGGCTTTGAGCTTAGGGCCTAAGCTTGTCAATATCCAGAGCACAAGCATTGAATATACTTACCATGATTTCAGGATGCTTCGCCAATCCGGTAACCCAGGACATTGGAGTCTCTTGGGAGGGTGCTGAGTGAAGCTGCAACCTGCTATCTGCAGCTAGAATTGGGAATTGCACCAGTTCGGGCAACATACAACATCATTTGTAACTCTTCTTGGCCTGCGAGCTGCACTACTACTGTTCTGGTGCCGAATTTCTGGGATCGCTCTCAAAGAAGATCTCTATGTTACAAGAAAGCAATTAGTTATACGGGCCTTCGGCAAGGGGCCAAAGGCCGACACCCTGCACCCAACTCTCTTACGCAGTGCTGGCGATTCAAGTGCTTGTGGAAATCCATGGCATAAACCCGAAAACCTTCAACCTTAAATGCCCCGCCAAATATCACCTGGAAACCAAACCCTAGTGGCAGCCTAGGTCCTAGCACCCTCCATGCCCTGAACCCTCAATGCCCCAAAAGCACCTAGAAATCCTAAACCGGAAATGCCCCAATATAGGAGCCTTCAGAATTAGAATAGGGTTTTGAAGCCCATGATGCTGTAACTACAGTCAGGAACGCCCAAAATAGTATCGGTAACCATCTAGGCCCTACATTACTCGTTTCGAAACATGCCAAGCGACCAACCAAGCCTCGCTTGCCCTTCCTTGGCCACAAGGGGAGGGAGAGCCCCTGAATACTTAATTAAGGACAAGGTCTACAGTTTTAATATTCTAAAGGACTATTATATTAAAGGACTCTAAGTACTAGGCACTTATGAGTACCTGAATAGACAAGCTACACTAAATGCAGGAACCCTCAGGAATAGTGTTGTCAAGATTTAGACAAGGAATACAACAACCAAAGAACCTGAAGAACTAGTATCACTACCGCTTGTCTTCTTGAACCGCTTTAGGCGAATGGCCCCACTCACAGGCCCCACAAACATCCTACCAAGGAAGGAGCCCGAACCGAGCTGCATATTTTCATGCGAGGACCTGTCATGAGGAAACCCATGGCTCCTTCAGGACTGAAGTTTCAACACTTCAGGCTTTCGTAGGGCTTTTGGTGTCTCGTCAGGGGCCAGGGTGTTAGATATTTGCTTCGTTAAAGTTTAAAGGTCAGAGAAATCAGACTCTTGATGTCTTTGAAAAAATGATACCTAGGCTTTGGCTTAGGGCTTTATGTCTCTGAGGCTCCGCCCCCGACTGCTTTGTGTCTCGATGCCAGAAACTCCATTGTTCATGCTCACTTGATGTGCTTTTGCTGAAAATCACCAACTCCAAACTCTGCTCCAAATCCGAATTTACAAAACACCCTTGTAACGCTGCATAACTGAGCCCTCCACCACAACAGCTCCCTAGAGCTTGATGAAGAAACCCCACTCGTACCGGCCTGAATGAATCAGGGGTCTACCTTATCCAAGAAGCCCTAACTCCAGCCGAAGAACCTTAATTTTCCACTTTATCGGCTTTGGGAACGCAGGTTTTTCTTCCGAACCCCGAAAGAAATCCTGAAGGCCCGCACAAGGCTTGAAGAGATCACGTTTGCCACCTGGAATCTTCGGGCTCTTCTTCCTCTGCCGCGGGCCCCCTGACGGAAGGGGCAGAGGGTCTAAGCGATGAAAGCCTGGAAATTTCAGGATGCGGCCAGGCAAAGAAAGGGCCCCTGCCCTGTACGAGGAGATAGCTCTAATCTCCAAACCTGAAGCCCTGCATGTTCAATGATGACACTGATGTAGGGGCTGTCACAATAAGTTCGGGCCATGTGCTCGGGGGTGTTAGTGCAGGGGCCTTCCTTCTTCCCATAGGGTCGTTCATGGAGTATGTATATTTGGGTGATTGTCAAAATTATGTTCCCTTTTTGGGTCCTGAATATAATACGGCACCTAATATTTAAGGTGCCCAAAAAGGGACCTTAATTTTGACAACTACCCATTTATATGAAAGGCCTTGCAGGATGACTGGTCGTTCTCGAGCTCAAGAGCTTCTCAGTGTGGACTATTACATCCATTACCATTAAACTAGGCTGTTCAATAACCCACTGGGAGAAAAAGCATATACTTTTGTAGGCTTCTTACTTTATAATGTATAGTAGGAATCCAGAAACCTGAAAACAGTAAAAAAGCGTACCACTGAACAGCCTGGTTTACTATTGCCTACTAGTTCCCTTGTTAGTACTATTCAACACAAGGTTTGGACTCTGGACTGCCAGCTTGACGACGCGAACCCCAAAACCACACTTGCGGTACGTTTTGCAATGGAATCTGCAGGAGTCTCCAGACTAGCTTCCGAATCCTCCAGCGTCACCCCAGGCATTCCAAAGGTAGAGCCCGAAGTATTCGAAGACAATAAGTCAGCCCTGCATGACTTAAAGCTACTGTGGCTTCCTGATGAAAAGACCCTTGCCGTAAACAAGGCCTTGAATAACGGAAGAGGTTTTGCTGGTCAGAATCTGCACTGCCCCTTGGTCGGCTATTCCGATCCGATGAGGCGTGCTGCTGAAAAGCCCTGAAACCGAAGGTTTGTGCGCCCTTAAGCGAGCCTGCACTGGAAAGCAGCCGCCGCTGCGGTCCACCACGTCCCTGAAGTAGAACGAACATGACTCACTCACATGGCACATGACTGTGTCGCACCATGAGCCCGTGAGAGCCGACTTCGTGTGCCGATGCACTTCATGCCTGGGACACGGCCCACGCTTGGAAAGAGCACGCTAGACGAAAAATCCGCTCTCCGAGCGCCGCGCCTGCTTGGCAAAGAGCATCAAGCTGCTGTCGGGCCTGGGTCGCGAGTGCGAGCTTGAAACTTCACCCAGAAAGGTAGAAACAACATATCCGCGAGTTCACGAGCGGTGCTTCAATGATACTCGGTTGCGGATAGTCGAGTCTCCGGTACCGAACTCACCTTCTCGGATTTTGTAATATTGAAGCCCGACAATCGAATTTCAAGTGATGCTCCAGAACTAATCGGAAAGAGCTTATGTGCAGAAGTAACCTAAGTACAAGGAGTACAAGGAGCCATCAACAACGACCTCAACATATCCAAACACTCAATCTGGGTCCTTGACCAGCCTCCAATCATAAACAACCTGTGCCATCTGCACAAACCCTTAGCCAAGCAATCTTCCTCCATCTTTACTTCCCCCCAAAAGACCCTTCACAAGCCTCTGGCTGTCCTACTGTAAGCCCATTGACTGCTACGCATGCTCTAGTCAGCTCATCCTCGACAATGGCCGAAGTAACATAATGATGATGGTCACACAATCCCGACATATGCAAAGACATATTGGCAATATTTAAGAACTAAAGGAATTAGAGTTATGTGCTGCAGGAGTGTGGGATGAGCCTTAAGCAACTTGCAGAAACTTCTCAGAAGCTCGAGCGTGTTTCACTGGAGGCTCTCTCATTGACGAGCGTGACGAGATCGTTTATCGCTGAAGCTATCTTTTCTCGAAACTCCGGAACTCGGGCGTCCCATCCCGATATCAATGAGGCCCATTAACTCTAAGCATACTCATTTTCGAGATCCCGTAAGCGCAACAACCCACAACAGCAACAATACACCCAAGAAACATAGCACTCAAAGGGCCTATGATCACGGATCCATATTTCAATTTACGGAACATTCCGTAGATCACGGAGATTGGAGCCTCCCCCCAGTAAATCCCCGTACCCCCTTGCATTAAGAATTATAGTTCCTGCGACCATAGTAGCAGTCCTTAGCATATGCCGTGCCTGAAGCCCTGAAGCCGGCAGATCCGAAGCACTAAACTCCTCTGGCCGAAGAGCCCAGCGCTGCTCATCAGCCGCATGTTGCGTCCTACCAAACCTTTGGCTTCTCTGTGGATGATATAAAAACAAATATATATATATATATATACATATAATATGTATGAATGAAAAACACACATCATCCAATTTTGGACATAGCGGCCTCAAAAACTAGAAGAGGGCTTCGGGGACTTGTACGAAAGTCGAACTGGGCTACGGGGGAACACTGTTTCAAATTGCTGCCAGTTTTTGGCGACCCGCACGATTTCAGGGATTGAAGGATCCATGCAGGCCTTTGGCCGATGGTGGAATGATCCATGGGCCTATGAGCCTTAGCGCGAGCTCCCGAGATAGGGCTGCAAAAATCGTAGACCAGGGCCTTGCGATTTGTCGGTGGCCAAGGTTGGACAGAAAGAGACCCAGACCCAATGTGAGAGACCCAGGCCCATACATATGCAAGTCGTGCTGGTATCCAGTCTCTTTGACTCCTTGGTGAAACTCTACTTCCCTTGTGTCGTGAAAAGAGGTTTAATCTTGAGGGTATTGGGCAAGCTTTTCAGCTACAGCAGTCTGCCTGACTCAACCTGGCTATCAACCCCAAAGCAGATCCGACCTGAGTGCCTTCCTGGCGCCCAAATGCAGCCGAAACACTTTGGGCTTCCTCGGCACACGGGAAGAAATGGGAGTTTCCGAAAATAGGGGACCCTAACATAGTACCCTAAATAGTAGGATACTTATTAAAAGGACGCCAAAATATGGTACCCCTATTTTCGGAAACTCCCAAATCATTCTCAAGCTAACCTTCACCCAAAGATCACGCTGCCCTTAGGGGGCAACGAGGGCGAGGATGGGAGGGCCGATGACCAAGTACTACGAACTTCCTGAGCTCAGGAGGACGAACTATACAATACCGCACTATATTATAGTATACGGTGTTATACTATAATATACTATATTATATATATCATCCTATATTATAGAATACTTTACTATGCCATACTATACTACATTTTACTGTACTATACTATAGCCTTTTTTGGTGTGCCAGGGCTTTCTCACGTTCCTGGTGCAAGGACCCAGCATGACGCATTTTTGGCTCCGACTTTAGGTACGTTGTCCTGAACCTTGATCCCTAAAGCCTTGAACCTCAATTCGGGGGGCTATTGACTTGTCAGCCCACGCCCTACAACTAGAACTACCGAGTCGCAACAGCAAAGGCCCATCTTCACAGTATTTTGGGTACGCCTCTTGTCTTTGGGGGGAACTGATATGGGAGTGGCATCCCCTCTGCAGCTCCACCGAAGAGGCTTTGCAAATGTTGAGTCTTTCTTTTGCTCTCTTCCAAATGCAAGAAAGGTGCTCCCCTTGCGACGTCTGCGGACAAACTGAACAACGCAAGTGGAAGAAATGGTTAACTAGCTGCAAGGTGCGTTCGGCGTAAGAGCGAAGACCCCGTGCAATTGTTCGCAACGCACTTGCCGATGCTGTCGGGGGTTGTTTTTCATTGTGGTTTCGTGTATTGAGGGTCTAGCGCTCAGGAGCAGCATCTCGGATACAGTCACGGCATAAACCCAAGCAGCACTCGCCTCCATAGCTAAACCCTAAAGCTGTCCTGAGGCCAAACGTGCTTTCTTGAGCCTGAAACCTGAACACATAACCTCGAAGGCCCCGTACCTATGATCACGACGCTAGACCCCAACGACCGGAAGCTCTCAACCCACTCCGGTTGCGGCCACTCTGCTGCTTTGGGTGACCTGCCCACGAAGGCTTTGGGACGTTGCCGCTTCAGAGCTCCGGTAGGAAATGGGCGCAAAGTTTCATGCGTTATAGGGGCGTGAAGAATCAGAACAAGGCAAATGTTGAGTTCTGACTCCAACAGGATGTTCGGGTAGTTTGAATCTCCCCAAAACAGTGCCAGGAAATAGTCTTTCTTTCATTGACTACGAATCAGGGTTGTGGAAGCGTGTTCTGGAGGGATATCGAACAGTTCTCCAACGGCCGAGCATTGTACATTCAGGAGTTTAGGGGCTGACGCTTGAACCACGCCAGAGGCTTCTGGGAAAAGGGTCTACTCAACCAGGACAGGAGCAAAGGGACTTAGACTCCAAGATTCCAGGCAAAAAGGACGTTATCAAAACTAGGATGGCGTTGGGCTTCCAGTGAAGGGGGTTTTTAAGCCATCCCCACGTTTCGAGTAGCTGACAGGACCAGAAAAGAGCCGATAGCCCTGGCACCGGCAGGAGCCAAACCGCGCCGGATCGTTCGAAATCTGATTACTGACACTTCAGAACCGGGATAAGGATTTTAGTGAAGGTTAAGTGCACAAGCACGCATGAAGCTGCTGCAAACCTGACGGCTCAATGCGCAGTCGGGGCTTGGACTCAGTTTCGAACCAAGGGTTCTGTATATGGCTACTACAACGCTACATAACGGCTTTTGTAATGGCTTAGAATCAAGGCCTGCTACTTAGAATAGGGTGTTTGGCTATAGTCTGGCAAAGTTGCTTCTATTCTAGTATTCTTATGGTATATTGTAGATATACGGTCGCTGGAAGCCAAGCAAACTGCGATGCCTTGATCTCGGAGTTCGCTCGGAGGAGCGCGACCGCTCAGAGGCCGATCTCTGCACCTTAAAGGGAACTCCAGAAAGTTGGAATATGGTTATCCTAAACCCTTTATGGTAAATTATAGGGTATCCTACCCTGAAACCATATTCCAACTTTCTGGAGTTCCCTTTAGAGGCTTTCAGGGTTTCAAGGTCTCGGATAAGGGTACAATAGACAGGGTTTCCAGGGTGCCTTTCTAAGTAGGTTCCATCAACTTCCTAGTGGGCCTTTAGGGGTTTGTGCCTGTCTGGGTTCCTGTAAGGGTTAGATCAGGGTTCTGCATGAGCTCAAAAAATGGGGGTTTGATGTGGTTCGGGTATCACGAGAAGCTGGTAACATTGCCCTGCTGTTAATGTAGTGTAGGGGTTTGGGTTCCCTGATACATTTCTACTAATGCAGTAGTCCAAAACCCGTTTCTAATTACTAGGTCTTATTACTTAGGCTTGTTAAAGGCTGTACTGCCTCCGGGCGTTAGTGTTTGAGGCTTCATGGGAGAAAAAGCCAAGAAGATTGCAGTTCAACATCTGGCCTCACATGCACTGAGCTCGGCACTTCCAATTCACCCGCTTCTCCTCCGGGACAAGACAGAGAGCGAGCTCTGTCAGACACTGATTCTGGCACAAAGTCTTCAACCGATATGTTAAAGTGAACAAGAAGGTCCGCAGTTTCTGACAGTTCAGGCAGGAAGCCTCCTCGAATCCTACATTGCCTTACAACTTTGTTTTCAACGAGGCCTTCATGCTTCCTCACGATGCGGCTTCTGTTGCAGTAGTTGTATCACCTGTCTGCGAACACCCATTGCTTGATGACTTAAACAATTCAGATCAGCTTTCAACCGTGATCTCGAGGCCATTGAAACACATATCTCCGCAATATCGAAATGACATGAAAAACGTGGTTTAAAATGCTTCAGAGGATGATCAGAAAAATCGTGCTGCCAGGAAAAAACCGGGTATGACCAACATATTGAAGATCCCTCTTATGACAATGTGCAAAGTGGAACAAGGTGAGAACAAGGCAGAACGTGGGAACAGGCGACAACATGGTTGAGCAAGGTGGGAGAAGTGCAAGGGTGGAAAGCAGGTCCACCTTTTTCACACCTTATTGCTAGCCTTTTGCTTAGCAGTTACCATGTTGCTTTCGCTGCTTGCAATCAACGTTGGATACAACATTTTCGCACCTCTACAGCAGTGTCTCATGAGTGAATCTCACAACCGTAGCAGAACCTTGATGTGTATCCCAAAGAAACGAAGTCCGGGCCTCTGTTGCCAAGGTCGATGCCCAAGGTCGAAGAGACCAAGAGCGGGCTGATGTCCTGGGGCGGTTCTCGCTGCTTTCTTGTGTTTCGATCTATTCCCAACAATGGGCCTGTCGGAGGTTTGGGGCTCTGGGGATGTGGGATTTCGGGGTCTGGGGCTTGAGGTTTGAGGCTTTTTGAGTTTGGGGGGTGTCGGGTAGGTTGAAAGAGGCCTAAGGGGCTTGGGCTCCAGGCTGCGGGTTCAGAGGTCTGAGGTTCAGAGTATGGTTGCATGTATCCGAGACTTAGAAGCCTTGGACCCTCAAAGCCCTCCACTGTTCACCTCAAGTCCGCCTCGAGCTTTACGGCTTCAACCCGGTCTTAAGGCAGTGGGGCAAAGGGCCTGGATTTTGCATTCTCTCACGGGCATGAGGCTGTTTTAATGGTATTCCTTTGGGCTGGGCTTTTGGAGTTTGAGAGGTTCAGGATTTCTGTAGGCTTCGGCTCTGGGGTTTGTGGTTTCCGGGTTTTCGAGGTGGAGGTATGCAGTTTGTGGTGGAGAGGATGAAGAACTTTGGCTTCGATTTTCGAGTCCGCTCGGGTTTAAGACGATCCTACGAGCTTGGCCTCGATTTACGCATATCTAGGCTCTCACAACTCGGGCAATCCAGGCGAGGATCCTGGGCGATTTAGGGTTTGGTGGTGTGGGTTTGAGGGAGCTCAAGGTTGACATTTTTCATGTCGGGATGTAGTGCTTGTATACACAAAATGGGTAAATGCAAATGCTTAGGTGCAAAACTGATGCAAAACTGCCATGATGGTCCTTGGCCCAGTCGGATAGGTCTTGGACCATGCCTTCACGGAGGGATTCGCTTGGTTTGCGACTTTGCCCACTGGGAGGCGGGAGTAGATGCCCAAATAAAGTTTCCATACTATTTCGCATCGGCTCTAAGATGCGTACATACCCCAGCCAGTCCCGGGCTTCCGACCGATGCGACGGGATCTCGAAGTCTCCGGCAGGCCGACCTGCAAAGAAGGCGCCGGGGGAGCTGAGGAGCTTAGGGTTTAGAGGGGGTTTAGGGCCTGGCGCATAGGCGGAACTCGGACAATCCAGGGGAGGCATGTGATCTTCGGTTGGATGGCTTTAAGTTTTGTGTGGCTGGAACGTTTGATAAGGCTTTGCATGACGGTTTACGAAAGGTTCTACAAGGTTCTCACAATAAAGCAGCTACAGAAGGGTTTCTGAATTCGGACTTTGAAACACAGATGCCCGATAGAACGTGTGTACGTTAGGTGGCGGAGCTAATTACAATCATGGTTTGCGTAAGGATCCCACTTTAGGCTCTTGCTCAGCGAAGCAAGAAAGCTGCAGTTAAGGTTCTAGGGCTATAGATCTTCCCTGACTCAGTTCTCGCATTTGGCGAGCTGTTGATTGAATGCAAAAGCATGGCAAGGCGAATGAGGCTCAGAACCCGAAGCCTGCGAGACCTGTCGAAGCCCTAAAAGTGCCAGATAGGGCCCTGATAATTAGAAGAGGGTTTGGGGTATATTAGTTAGCAGAGGGCTTGCTCGTCGTCATACTACGCACGCCAGACTTTCCCCGACCAAAAATCAACCCAAAAAATTCCTTGATACATTGAATAATTTAAATTGAATGTATCAAGCAGTATTATCCCTGCCTGCGCTGTGCCAATTCAAGGTGTCTCGGTGTTCCAAAATGCGATGTCCTTGTCTTCTTACTTAGCCAAATTCTACAAGTCTCGCACCAAAATTTATTCTTGGCATCTTCCACATCAGACTCCTCACCTTCTTCCAATTTTAAGTAATGTTGGTGTCTTATCGTTTTTGTATGTCTCTGGTATTGGTCTTTGACTACATACATTTCGCATAAGTCACACCAAGTCTTTTCTCTTTTATTCTCTAATATGACTTCTCGCTTCTTCTCGTAATACCTTTGGCATTTCTCCCTCGCCTTTTCTGGGTTGTCCTGTTGGTTTTTGCTACAAGCATCCGAGCACGGGATACAAACACGGCGCCCCTCCTTGAATTCATCTTCCTCCTTCTCTTTTCTACATCTGCTACATCGTTTGACAGTTTCCATACTACTATTTAATATAAGTATTCCTTTAAATGCTTTCTAAGACCATCTTTCCAATGGGCGTGCCTAGGTTGATAGAAACTATGGGTTTTTTGGGATTGCGGGGCAATGCTTCGCGTAATTCGGGGCTTGGGGGCAGTAGTTCATACAAGATATTGTTAATATAAAGGAATATTAACAAAATCTTTCAACAATTTATTTTAGAATAGATTGTATCAATTACTGTGTTTGTGCTTCACGTTTTTTTTGATGGCTTCTATATGTGTATGTTGTTCTACGTGGTTCTTCCAAGCCCAACACATCATAGAACACTTACAAGCATAGCAGTAATACGTTTTCTTGCCATCTACTACCTTTATTTCATCAGGTTCGGGTAAGGCTTCCGTGTCAGGATTCAACTGTCTTGCCAAGTTATCCTGATGGAACTTTGATTTTTCGTGTTGTGATTTCTTGTATTTCTTGATGTCGTAGTTACACACAGGACAGGTAATAACGATGTCCTTGACTGTCTCTTTGTATCTTGCATTTTGCTCTCTATATTTTTCGGGGTTGTTTTGTCGGTCTTCAGCTTTGTATCTCCTACCCCTTTCATTTTCTTGCTCTAAGTGTTGTTGCCTGTAGTCCTTTTGGTAGTTGTAGCACTTCAAACACTGTGATTTGTAGAACTCATTGATTTCCTTTGTCTTTTTACATTTTGAACAGGTTTTCGTTTCAGTCTCCATATTCTAATATGTAAAGTCTTCTTGTCTTTAAATGGTTTCTTCCTTGAGTGGTTTCAAACCCCCTAGGCTAGCTGTCAAAGTCTCCGTCCCCGAATCTTGGGACTCCAGTCCCCGAACTTTGGGACTCGGGTCCCCGAATCCCCGAATTGTGGGACTCGGGTCCCCGAATCCCCGAACCTTGGGACTGCAATCCCCGAATTTGGGGACTCCAATCCCCGAACTTTGGGACTCAAGTCCCCAACACTTGGGAAGCCCTTGAATTGTTTCTAAACCTTTAATAACTCAAACCTCAAATACCCTCTGGTCATACCCTCCACATAATAATATTTTTGACCTAATTTCTCCTCTATTTTTTCAACTGTGTATACATTCTTTGACCAATTGCCTACCCTTTCTTTTTCATTAGGCTTTCTTTTCCTAAATATTTTAACCTCGTCTCCCTTATCCAAGTCAGGATATACTTTATTTTGTTTAGCTTTTTTTGCTAAATTCAACTTGACTTCCAACTCGTTTGACGGCTTTCTCGCCTCTTTCGGTGTCATTTCTGTAGCAGAATGTTTCATAACATTGTTATAAGTCAGTAGTATTTCGTATATATAGTCTATCCACTGAATATTTTGTTTCCCTTTTTTCTCATCCGCTTCAACCCTTCTGTACAACAAATCTTTAAACGTTCGTATCGCCCTCTCGCTAAAGTTGGGGTGTGCTCTTGTTATGTGGTGTTGTATGTTTTGCTCTTTGAAATATGTTTGTATTGATTCCTTGCTCAGCGCTCCTTCATCATCTGTATAAACGACCTTTGGAATCTTACCCATTTTGTTTAAGGATTCTATAATACCACTGGCTAAATCTTCCTCTGTTTTGCCCTTAATAGGTACAACGTGCATAAACTTATCAAAAACATCAATCGTTAGCATTCCCACTCTAAATTTTTGATTCTCCATATCATTAATAAAAAATAAATCTATTTGATATTCATATGCAGAGTGAGGAGCAACAAAACTGTTTCTGCCTGTTGGTCTTCGCTTTTGTTCTACGTTCTTCCTAAAAAACTCATTAATATCATCTGCTGTTATACTTTTATCTTTCCTCCTTGCTTCTTGTAAGGTCCGCTGTCGTGAGCCGAAACCGCTCCTATCAAAATACACCTCGCTAATAATATCTTGTTTAGAACTCATTATTATAAACAAGATATTATACATTATTGTCATCATTTAGAACTGCAGTTACAGTAATGACAGTATGCTATACAATTATCTTTCAAGTGTGGCATCTCATTATTTAAACGCTGGGCTGTTAGATTACTTACCACCTCCCCGCATTTAATATCAAACTCAAACCCGCAACCGCATTTATTACATCTATTGTTCATCCTATCAAAAAGCCACTTAGCATCAATATAATCGGCATCTTCTACATTCCTACCTGCCTTCAGGTCTTGTATCTTGTAGCGCCGAACCTTGTTGTGTAAGTATCGTGTTAATGTAGCCTCGTTTAGTTCATTATCATTCTCCACCGATTTGTAGAACATAACCTTATTAATGTCAGTAGCCCTTGTTAATGAAGTCCATAACCACTCTCTCGTGATTAAGTGTTGCTTCTGCCACTCGTGTATAGTTATGGACTTATCAACTGAAGCACCTTGTGACGAATGACAAGTGGTGCAGTAAGCATATCTAAAATGCTCATCCAGTGTAGTTATGCTGGTGTTGGATAGCTCATTGGTCTTTATGTTCTGTAGCACTACCCCATCTACTCCGATGCCCTTAATCTGGTACTTAAAATTGACATTAAAGGTGGTCGCCCCGTCCTTCTTATACTTTCTGCATATCATATACTCGCCCACTTCATATTTATTTTTCTTTCCTAAGTTCTTTCTTATCGTGTTTGATACATACAAGCACCGCTTATTGGTGTATGCTATGTTGTGTTCGGATGCCATTAAATCGCCAGTTGTTTTAAAGTACTTCTCCACAATCTGCTCAATGGGCAGTTTATGTTTCCAGATGTCATCATATATATGCTTGAGTTTTATTTTATCGCTCCTCTTCTTAAGTCTCTTGGATATTCTAAGATAAATCCTGTATTTGAATATTTGGTTAATGCATTCGTTTAGATATGTCTCGTGGTCTCGCGTGTTGGTTATATCCTTTATTGGTGGCAGTTGTTTCCCATCAGAAGTGGCTATAATTATCTTATCCTTGGCGTGTTTCTTAACGAATTCTCTTATCTTATTTAATACATACACCCCTCCCATACCAACTTCATCAAACACTATGCAGTTATAACTACTGTGGTCAAAGGATTCCATTTTATCCCCCTTCTCCATAGGTATGGCGAAGAATTTATTATTAGTTGTTGCGTCCGTTTGTGTGTTTTGTAGCAGTTGGTTGGTTGGACACACAAACAGCACGTTATAACCCAAATTCTGCATATACTCGCCTATGTAACTCTTACCCGAACCAGCGTATTTAGCTTTTATGATTACTGGGTTCTGCTCCACTATTTGCTTACATATCTGTACGGTATTCCACTCGTCCTCTACCGTCACCCTTTCGTTCTCGTAGGTCGGTATTTCCACCAGCTCGTTGGGTTTCATTTCGTAATCGTCAGTTGGGGCTACAAACGGTTTGCCTTTCTCAACTCTCCAGCCACCAATCTCCTTTGAGAAGTTAAGTAGTTTCTTAGCCTTGGTTAAGTCACCTGTCTTGATTAAAAACGCGTCGGTCTTAACATAATTCACCGGAACCCCTGCCTCTACCAACTTGTAGTAATCTTCATACATCCTGAAGTTGTGGATTTGTAAAAGCAGTTCCTTAATGTATTTAAAGCCGTTAGTTAAATCAGTTGTGTCGCTTACAGACAATGTGTAGTATTTGGCTTCGGTTTCTTTCTCTACACTCTCGTATTCGCCATCTACCTCCTCTCTCTCCTCGTAATATCCGCTGATTTTGTTAATCCTGCCTCCGTGTATGGTTTGATGATACAAAGCCTCGCTTAAGGTATCAAAGACGAGACTTTTCTGTGCCTTGTTCGTGCCCTTCTCCAGAAGTCCGATATTAACGTTAGCAATCAGTTTCTTGATTCTGTTGTCCTGCATCGGTTTCTGTGATATAGTGGTATCCCACAGTTTCTCGGTGATGCTTTTATAATTGACTTTGTGGGTATGGGATGGGCGCTTATAATACAAAATCTCACATTTTCCG